TAGTTGGCTTTGTCAGCCATCATCTCTGTTTGGGCTAAATTTATTTTCATGTGAAATAGAAATCAGGAAAACACCAAAATTATTTTAAGCAAAATATCAAAAATTGAAATAAACCAGCATATGTCTGTGAAACATGTATAACTCTCAATCAAAAATAAGTACAACGTTCATAAATTTCTTAAAATACTGAGGATGCAAAATTTGGACAATTTAAATGGAATTATAACATATTTGACTATTTTTTCTCCTTAGTTCATCCTTTACTTAAAAATGAAAATTCAAATAACCAAAACCTAGCCAGCTCTGTATCGTCCCTTCATAAACAATGTACTCCATCATCCATTATAATAAGCAAGAAAACCAAGGAATTTTATGAAATTTCTTATCGTAAGATTAAGTTATACCTGATAATTTTGAATGGAAACCATTTTGAATTTGCCTTCTTTATTTATATTCTGTCCTATCCACAACCCCACACACAATATATTCCTCTCTAAGAAGTAAGGTTTCTTAAATGCTTTAAAGATATTATGCTTTGTTCTGCTTAGCTGTTTCATATTTGTAAGTTTCTCTTGCAGTGAGAACTCAGATGGGGTTAAAACTATCAAAGTGACAAATATTCTAAGGCTTAGCACCAATGAGTTAAAACATAAATGCCCATCTCACCTTTATGCTTCATATATAGGCCTTGTCTAATTCATTTTCTATATTAGATTGTCATTTCAAGGATTGGAATCACTGAACAGCTTAATAGTAGTTGATAGTTTACCCACAGAAGACATAAAGTAAATATTACCATCAATAAATATTATTGATAAACCAACAAAACATTTCTTGAAATCTTTAGTCTTTCATTTTTAATTCTTCTGTTCTTGAACTAGGTGACAAAATTTCTTTAAAAAGTAAAAATAAATCAAACTATCACTTTTTTTGGAAAATGACTTAACATTAAATGAATTGTCTTTCAGTACCTTTTGAAAGCATGTTTGAAAATTTGATCTCATTAGGCTTGGCATCACCCTATATATTAACAAGGTCAGTGTATTGGGAGTTGAAAAACTGCTTAAAATATGGTTGAAGAACAACTTTATGATCATAATATTTCAGTGGATACATGCCCTTTTCATCTTGAACTCTTGATCTTCAATTCAACTTTTCATCTTGATCTTCAATTCACCTTTTTTCTCATACATAATTCTGATTTTTCTTGTTAGTTTATTAGTTGTAAAAAGTTTCTTCCTTCCTGGTTCTTTCAATTTAGACCAATTTGGAAATGGAAAAGTGTGTTAATTTTTTAATAAATCTTTAAGACACGCATTACTGTATTTTTATTAACTGAGCCAGATGGCTCACAGTGAATTTTCTCTGACATAAGTAATCACAGAAATCAGTTTGGGACCCAAATCTGGTATGGAAAGTGGCATGTGTATTCAGAGGAAAAATGCAGTTCACATAAACATATGGATATTTTTAGAAGTAATATTTGTTACTGTTTGGATTTCATTTTTTTGTTTTGTTTTGTTTTAGGCTAAGTACAAACTAAAAACTTTCTTTTTTCTGTCTCTCAGACTCAAGTATTCAAGGTCCTACTCAACAACCCCAAATTGTTTTCTTTTTGCAGTTTGAAGGTTGCAAGAAAGCCTTTTCAAGACTCGAAAATCTCAAGATTCACTTGCGGAGTCACACAGGCGAGAAGCCATATTTGTGCCAGCATCCAGGCTGTCAGAAGGCATTCAGTAACTCCAGTGACCGCGCCAAGCACCAGAGGACGCATCTGGACACTGTAAGAATGGCAGGAGTTTTCCATCTTCCAGCCTGAAGCCCCGGTGTAGGGGAGTACCCCTTTGATAGTGGGATAGTGAAGATGTTTGCTTTATGGTCTGCAGCTTTTAAGGGCAATGCCAAGGGCAGGAGTAGAACCTGGTAGAGGGCCAGAGGGGCCCCGTTTGTCTCTTTCCTCCTTTTTCTGTAGTCATAAGTATCCTAAATATTACAACTGCCTGGGACAAAAGGGTTCTTTGGTTATCTTTGCATATAAAGCAAAGGCAGTCCAGGAACTGTCGTATAGTAGATTTTAGTACAGAGAATGACCACTACAGAGCGGGCATTAAAATAAGTATTCAAATATCAAGATATACTAAGATACATAATATATACTATTGCTAGAAATAGGGAGCACTTTTTTCTCTTGCTCTGGTTCTTTTCTTCTTGACATAAAAATGTTGAGACTGGCATGGTTTTTAAGAGTGAATCTAGCCTTTCACTTTAGAAGCCAGCTGGTATTTCCACTTTTAAGTGATCTAAAAAGAATCAGCAACTCTTTCC